ACCTGGAGCTAACAGCAGCTGGAGAGAAGCAGGGGACAGATTCCCCCACAGAGTCTTAAAAGGAGTCAGCACAGCTGACACCCTCATGAGGGCCTTCCAGTCTCCAGAGCTAGGAGACAATAGAATTGTGTTCTCATCAGCCACCCAATTTGTGGTACTTTCTTGTGGTTGTGCTGGGAAACGAATCCACTGGTATTTAAACCAGTAGCCCGTTCTGGTATTCTGGTTACCTAGTGCCGCTCGGACAAGAATATACCACAAATGGGATGGCCTTAACAAACAGGAGTTTATTCTTACAATTTGGAGGCTTTCTTTAAGTCCAAGTTCAAAGGGCCAGGCTCAAGGGGCTGGGTGAAAGCCCCTCAACCTTGGAGTCCAGCTCTGCCTCCTGCTCTGGCCCACTGGAGCTGGAGGCTTTTCTTCACTCAGACAGCTGCTGGCTGCTGAGGCTGAGAAGCCCCAAGGTTGACAAGTAAAAAGGCACAGTCCCACTGTTACCAAACCACACGGCAAGCCATTAATGTAAGTCCATTGTAAGGCCTGAGGTCGGCAGAGCATAGCAGGCTGCTGAGCAACAACATGGTTACATGCAGGGTCCAAGTGTGCCATAGGCTAGAGACCATTCTCAAAGCTTCTCCTTATATACAGGAAGCAGACCACATCCCAAAGGCAGCTACTCAGCTGCTTGTGGTACATCCCACCATGGAGTTGATTGACAGTCTCATGATGGGGAATAACTACCACCAGCTGCCCAGCCACTCAACCAGGCCCAGCCAAGTTGACACACAAATATAACCACCACATCTGTCTTACCTCTACTTTTGTATCTGTTTAGATCTACTGTAATGTGGACTGTAAACACAGAACAGGGTTTGATCAGGCCTTTCTCCTTAATGCCAGCCAAGGGCCCCTTGACCATATGTGGCTTGCAGTGATCAGGAGCAGGCCACTCACAGTGTCATTCCCGGGCCTCCTTCGTGCACAGACCAGCCCTGTTCCTCTGCCCAGCATGGAGACCTTGGTGTGGCTATTGCCTAGGAGGGTCAGTGCGGCTTGGCATCCTTTCCTGTGCCCAGGGAGCATGGGTAGAGCAGCCACACAGTCCTGCTGATTGCCAGGCAGCCATGAAGGAATGGGGATGGCCTTGTCCTTGGAACACACTGAGACTCTGAGGCAATGGCAGCCAGCAGCCTGCACCAGAAATGGCTGCGGGCTCTCCTCTCCATCTCCGTCGTGAACCTTTCCCTGGACGCCAGGATTGGGCACAGGTGAGGTGCTGGCTTTAACCTGATGGCTGTGCTTCATTGGTGAGCACTGTGTAGACTTCTTAGAACAGAGGCTGGGCTCCCAGGCAGCTTTGCTGTGGCTCTATCTTGTCCTGTGTTGAAGGAGCACTCGATCGCCTCCATTCTGTTTGTCACCTTTGCCCTCAGACGACTCCCCTTCGTTCAGTCTCTCGGAGGAAGCATCAGGAGCAGAGAAGGCATGATTTTGCTATTTTGCTCATTGGTTGCTTTCAGGGCACATTTGAGAGGGGCATGTGGAGCTTGGTGGTAGCAGGGAAGCTCAGCAGGACTGTGGGGTCTCCCACCACAGAGGCCTTGAACTGGGAATGTGCGTGCTGCTCATGCTGTGAGGGCTCCCTTTGTCCCGAAGAGTACCATGTCAGTCAGCTCTCAGCTGCTTGAAGGGGTGCCAGGGCCTTTGAGCTCAGACTTTAGAAAGACTGTATAAGGGTTCTTTCATCCATCAGTCCACCCACCCACTCACCCCTCCTTCCACACATCCATCCATCTACCTACCCACCCACCCACATATCCTCCCTACCCACTAACCCCCTTCCTCCCTCCTCCCACCCATCCATCAACCCACCCATCCATCTATCTCCCCATCTAGCCACCCACCCATGTATCCACTCATCCACCCTCCATCAATCCACTCACCTACCCACCCTCCCACCTGTCCATCAGTCTGCCTGTCCTCCCACCTATCCATCCATCCCCTGACAACTCCTCCCTTCCCTCCACCCCTCCCACTACACACTCGGCCATCCATCCCCCATCCTTGTACCCACTTCTCCCTCTCTCCCTCCCACCCATCTCTGATCTCCTCTCCTGTGTTCACGTGCTCTCTGATCCTTCATTTCTCTGGACGTCTCTCTCCCGGCTTCCCCATACCTACTGTCCTTTCTTTGCCAGTTCCAGCTTCTGTTTCCTAAGCCTCATTGTTATGGTTCACTATTTTCATGGCCATTGGCTCAGTCAAGTTAGAGGAGCTTCGGCTTTGTAGCCAGTGCCATTGGATAGTGTGGGTGTCCAGACCCCCGTGCTCCCCTTCCGCGGCTCACCCCGAGGTCTCCTTTTCAGAGCACATGTCCTGGCTCTAGACCTGAGCTGCACCACTTGGCCTGGCTGAGCCAAGCTCCTGTTCACCTCCATTGTGAGGCTAGTTGTCCTTCACGTGAGCTGTTGACCCAAGAAAGGGTGGTTGCTTGTCCCACATGCACATGTAGTGACTTAAAACTATGTTTGCTCTTTTCAGGATACATTGAGAATGGATACGTGAAGTTCACTGTGATAAACTTTGAAAACAACACGCAGCACGTTCCTCTTATTGGAAAAGTTGGCCTTTCTTGGAAAACAAATGTGTTCGAGGGCTGTATCAAGGTAATTGATTGTTTTCTCTTCTTAAAATAACTCGTTTTCTGTGTCAGTTTTTAAAAGCACGCTGATGTGTGTGCATGATGTTTCCTCTGAGTCCTGGAATCATTACCCTGGTTTCTCGAGATTTGCCCACAGTCCCTGAGACGTCAACACTCTTCATTCCTTCCTAACCCGTCCGTGAGCACCTACTGTTTTGAACTGAGGGTATGGGGACAGAGCTGTGAGTGCCAAGCATGGCAGGCAGTGTATGGCCAGGCGTCCTCCACTGCATGAAACTGTCTGTCTGTCTGTCTTGTGGCGAGAGAGCAGAGCTGTAGGTTGGATCAGGCCGGTGGCACTCAGCAGCATCTTAATCCCTCAAGTGCCAGTTTGTGAGTTGTTGCAGTGACAGTGTCTTGTTGCAGGACACAGTGACCCCAGCTGCCAGTTCATACCTTCGTGGGTAATCAGCCGTGGGGATGGGAGCATGGATTTAGTGGTGGGACTGGCAAGCCAGGAGGGAGGAGGACAGCTGTCCTGACCCTTTTGGGTTTCTTCGGTGGTCTTCGTGCCCAGGCCTGCCCTGATTCTCGTTCCTCTCCGCCTCTCTTTTGGGGGATGACTAGGGTTTCTCCACAGGAACCATGGGCTCTCCCTCCTGGAGGTGCAGAGGGCTGCCCTAATGTAGCTTTGCTCTGCCTAGCCGTGTGGGCACCTAGTTAGGGTGTGAAGGATGGAGACCGAGACCCCAGGCCCTTGTCATGGGGCATTCAAGCCCTTCACTGTCCTCAGGCTTATCTCTTGAGCCACTTGCTGTTTGATGTAATGAGGTGTTTCATTAGTCCTCTTTATTTGTGAAAAAATGTTCAAACTTTGGTAAAAAAATTATGTTTCTCACCCACAAAAGGATATTGGTACCTGTCTTTACAAGCCTGGACCTTACTTCTTTATTTCTTTGGTGGATTTAGATAGGGCTTATAATGGAAATTAAAAAACCAAAAACCAAACTTACTGCCGTCCAGTTGGATCGACTCATAGCGACCCCTCCTTGGGTTTCCGAGGCGGTATCACTATGCAAGTAGATTGCCCGATCTTCCTTCCGAGGAGTGGCTGGTGAGTTTGAACTGCCAGACTTCTGGTGAGCAGTCAAATGCCTTAGGCACTACGTGAAAATGTGGCACTCAGAAGGGACCTTGAGGACCAAGAAAAAGAGAAGATAAACAGGCCAGACTTCAGCGGTTGGCATAGAATGAAACAATGCTTAGATGGTTCTGTGTCTCCTGACGGTCCAGAGTGAGATGAGTGTGGCTGTTGATCTTGTGCAGGGAAAAAAGGGAGCTGTGGAGTGCAGTGGCAAAAGCACTGGGTGGCAAACCAAAAGGTCAGCAGTTAGAACCCAGAGCGGCTCCTCTAGGCAGTCTGCTTCTGTGAAGATTGACAGCCATGTAGACCCTGTGGGGCACTTCCACTCTGGCCTCTAGCGGTACCATGAGTCAGAAGCTACTCCATGGCAGTGGGTTTGGGATAAACAGGGAAGTGTAGTAATTGTACAGAGAAACACAGCTTCCCCCAGCTTGGATCGTGACAGGGAAGTCTCCAATGGTGCTTTGTGTAGGGCAACTGAGTCCCACAGAGGACACATCCCAAACAGCGTTTTAGTAGCAAATGCAGATTCCTGATGTGTAACTTCTAAGCTCCAGGCTGCCAAGTCTGCAGGCTAAGCCGGCAGATTCCACAGTGTGCAGGCTTCTAGCAAAACAGCTTGATCTGAACCACAGCTTTGCGTTTCAGAGTTGGAAGCGGGTTGATTGCGCATTGCCCAGACAGTTGCCCCATAGACCTTTTCGTAGAAACCTCCATAGGGTTTCCCTGTAAATCCCCCTCAGCTGGGCTTTGTGGGAAGGCAAGTGTAGCTTAGAGCCCGTTCGCCTCTTTTAGCCTTGAATGTGGGTGTGGCCTACTTGTATTTTGTCACATAATTTTTGCAATGAAATTAGAAGATATATTTTAAGAAGTTGTGATAAAGGAGTGAACTTTTTTTTTAAAGGAAGGACATAAAATAGAAAAATTTCAGTTATACTTACTACTATTAAAAACAAACATTAAAAGAAACAAAAACAAAACACCCCGTTTCTTCTGGAAATTGTGGAGACGGCCTCTCCAGGGTTTCCTCCTGCTGAGGGTTAAAGGGGCCATCAGAGCAAAGATTATTAGGAAAATGGCCCCCAAGCCATGCTTGCCATCTCAAGGGGAGAACAGCATCCGTGTGGGGCGTGAAGCAGGGCAGTAATGATGACATGGTAAAGACAGTGCCGGAGCTCGGCTGCTGCACTGGCCATTTGGAGACAGGAGGTCAGGGCAGGGGCTCTGTGTGTGTCCTCTCGTTCTCGTGTCCACAAGCACCTTCTCCTTCCCTGGAACTCCCGAGTGTGGTTACCTTTAACGTCACTGGCCAGGGGGCCTGATGCTGTGGGTAAGTGCTCTGCTGCTCACCACAAGGTCAGCAGTTTGAACCCACTCAGCTGCTCTGCAGGAGAGAGACCTGGCAATCTGTCCCCATGAGGCTTAACAGTCTACCGGGCCTGGGGGTCTGCTTCTGAAACGTTGAGGCCTGCAAACCCTCGGGGCCATTCGGCCCTGCACACATGGGGCCACCAGGAGTCGGAATGGACATGAAGGTAACTCATAGCAAGACATTGGCCTCCTGGTCCACTGGTGGGTGGTGGCTTGCAGTGTAGCAGTGCTGAGGGGGCCTGCAGGCCAGGTGTAGTGCAGGTAATTGAAGGAGTAGCTGGAAGTGAAGCCATCGTGGTCGAAAGCAGGATGCATGGCTGTTGATTTTGTGGGGGGCACAATGACAAGAAGTGGTAAGTTGGGGTGGGGGTGACTATGGAGTGAACAGAGGTGAACTAGAGGTCACTGGGTCAAGGAAGAGGTGTCCATGGGTTGGACGGTTCCACTAGGGCCCCCACGGATGTTGAAGTCACTCAGAGTGACAGTTCGGCTTAGAGGTGAGCAAGCCAAAAGAACAAGGGAGAGATGCAGCCAGACAGACTTGTGACAGACTGTGAGCTATTCCAGAGCCCTGGACATGTGGCAGAGACAAGATGGGGCCAGGTCTCAGAGAAGTGGGAGTTCTTATGAGTGGGAGTGTGGCGGTGTAGGGGAGGCAGGCAGGGACAGGGGCATATCCACCCCACTCTCCAGTCTCCTGAGTCCCCACCCTCCTGGAACCAGAGAGCCCAGTGTATGGGTGGTCTGACAACGTCTGTTCCCCTAAACTGGATGCTCATGAGGATGGGGCTCCCAGTGCTCTGCCCTGACAGCCCAGTGGGGGCGGCCTGTGCACATCTGGATGCCCGTTTGGGAATGAGACACACTGCACACTAGTGACAGCCTAGGGTGTGAAGCAGACCACAAGTGCCCCTCAGAGCAGCCCCAACCCGATGCCGCGTGCAGCTCCTCCAGCGTGTCTCACCGAGGCCCACTTTTTGGTCCTCACCCCTGTAAACACCTGTGCTTGCTTCACAGAGCTGTTCTATAATGGACGTGACGCTCCTGGATGATTCTGGAAAGCCCTTCTGGTGCTTCAGCTCACCGGTTTGCATGCGACCCTCTACCAGCCCCTGTGACACTTGTAATTTCTTGGGGCTCAGATACTGCATCGACTACGTGGACTCGGAAGGCAGACTGCATGTGGACTTGGTGTGGATCAAAGAGACTGAGGAGTACTTCGTCGTCAGCCTGGCCCTGTACCTCAGCGTGCTGAAAATCAACCGCTGGTTCGGGACCGACTACTGATGGTAGCAGTGGAGGCATGCGACTGTGGCTGCAGGCCCTCTGTGTGTCTGACTTGCCAGTTTTGTATTGGGGCTGGCCTGGCTGCTGATCCCTGTTTATTTCTGACTTGCTGGTTTTGTGTTGATATCGGGACTTTTAGAATAAAGCATACCTACAGGAGTTGTTTGGTGCCTTCCTACTTCACATTAGAAGTTAAGAGTGATGAGCCGTTGTTAAGTTAGGTTTTGCAGAATTAAGTTAAATTTTAAAAATATGAAATTACCACATCCCAATGAAAAATCATGTAAAATAACAAGAAAAAAGAGATTTTCTTCTGTTCTCCTCTAAATAGTTGAACAAACTGGCATGTGATCACTGCGTGTGTGTGTGCAGAATACACTTACCTGTTGGGTTGATCACTGCGTGGACGAGCCTCTCTTGGCGTCACTCCTGCGTCTCCCGTGTAGGTGCCTCCTGGCTGCACTTCCACTCTGATCCCTGTGATTATCCTCTGTTGCGTGGAACCCTCCTCACCCCCAGGCTCCAGCACCCATGCGTGTGTGCCCTCCTCATACCACCTGGGCTTAGGAACATTACACCAGGCCTCTCCCCTGCATGGGTCCTCACCCCTTCGTGAGCTCTGCCTCCCCGTGCCAGGGTGCCCAATGTGTGGACCCTTTCTTCTACCTAGTTGGGTTGTGTCATCTCACCCTGGACCACTGGGGCTCCCTTTAAGCCACCAGTTGCCTTGTTCTGCCCCTCTTAATGGCTTTAGGAATCAGTAGTTGGGGAAGGGGAGGCATTTCTCAAGGATTAAAAGTACTAACACATATTATTAGCTCTGTGTGTCACGGATGTATACAAATTCCACCTATCATGAGCAAGAGCCCTTTTTAGGGGGCTGGCCACCTTAGTGGGAGCTCATTGTCCAGCTTAGTCTATGGTAGGTATGCCTTTTGTGTGTGACACATTGGTTTCCTTTGCCAACTGCATAATTTAGGCGTAGAGCCTAAGGCATTTGACCGCTAACCAGAAGGCTGGCGGGTTCAAACCTCTCAGCCACTCCTCGGAAGGAAGATGGGGCAATCTACTTCGGTGGTGATACTGCCTCGGAAACCCAAGGAGGGGTCACTATGAGTCAAAATCAACTCGACAGCAGTGAGTTTGGTTGGGTTTTGGTTTGGCCCTCTTAGTATTGTATGGGCTGGAATTAAGTCACGACACATCTGAAACCCAAGTATTTACTAATCATACTCCTTTTGTTTGCCAAGCAAGAGGACTTCTGCTGAAATATCTTAAAAACAGTGAGAGGACTGAAACAAGGCTTGTTGAGTAGAAGCAGTTCAAGCAAAGGGACAGGTGCAGACTCTAAATTATGCAGTTGGCAAAGAAAACCAATGTGTCACACACAAAAGGCATACCTACCATAGACTAAGCTGGACAGTGAATAAGGAAGACCGAAGGAGAGTTGATGCTTTTGAGTTGTGGTGCTGGCGGAGAATGCTGAAAGTACCGTGGACTGCTAAAAGAACTAAGAGATCTGTCCTGGAGGAAGTGCAGCCAGAATGCTCCTTGGAAGCAAGAATGGCCAGACTTCGTCTCACCTATTTTGGTCATGT